TGGGTAAAACATCTCCAAAGGCTGCACCTCAAAGTATTCCCCTACATCCCCCCAAATCCCAAATAAATTCATTAAAAATGTACATTGGCAAAAATTCCCCAGGAGCTCTCTCTGTGAGCACACACTAAATTCTACTTTTAAATTTTAGTTGTAGACTCCAAAATTTCTGCATATATATATAAAACCAGAAAAAAATATTTTTTAGAAATATAATTTTAAAACACAAAAGCACAGAAATGAAGCAGTATTATTGCTGACAATGGAGCTCTCCTTTTTCTCACAGAATCAAAAGCTGAACATTATCGCCATGTAAAGTTTGCTCCCCTCCTGTCTCTCTTTGATGTTCCTGTGAAATACCATTTTCCTCTATTAGAATGGGAGGTGCAGAAGGAATTTTAAAAGGGAGAAGAATGGCATGCTATGATTTTTCAGAGGCCCCTTATGCTCCTTAGATAGCAGGTCGGTTTTGTTTCAGTCTGAATGTGTGTGTCCCCTTCAAATCCTTATGATGAAACTTAATCCCCTGTGTGTTAGTACTCAGAGGTGGGGCCTTTGGGAGGTGATTAGGTCCCAAGGACTCCAGCTTCATGACTAGAATCAGTGCCCTTAGAGAAGATTGCTCATTCCTTCTGCATATGATGCAGTAATGAGGTATCATCTACGAGGAATGGGTCCTTACCAGACATCAAACCTGCGGATGCATTGATCTGGGCCTTTCTCACCTTCAGAACTAGGAGCAACACATTCCTGATGTTTACAAATTACCTACACTAAAGTATTTTGTTCTAGCAACCCAAACAAAGACAATCTCCCCACAACAGAATACTGTGCAGGAATGAAAAATAACAACTGCTCTGTGCAACAAACAAATATGTTTCTCACAGAAAACATAGTGAAAGAAGCCAAACATAAATGTCTGTGCAGTCTGATTCCATTGGTACAAGGTCCCAAGACAGGCAAACCTAATCTGTGGTGTTAGAATTCAGAACAGTGATTTCCCTTCAGAGAATAACTAGAAAGGTGTAAGAAGGTGATGGTGGGGTACTAGTAATGCAATATCTCTCAAAAAGCATAGTGGCTACATAGGTATGTTCATTTTGTAATCTTCAGTGTACTGTACAATTGTGAAATGTGTATTTTTCTATGAATAGATTAGATGGCAGTAAAATTTTCAGTAAGATAATGAATAAATCAAATTAAACTTTAATTTGGGATCATGTTTTATTCTCAGGTGTGATATCTACACTGGGCTGGCCAAACTGAAACATGATCATTACAGTTCAGAACAGTACAGTAATTAATCACATCCATGGAAATTGGTAATCATTAACACAAGCAGGAAAGAAGCTGACCAGTAAAATTTCCACACAGACACCATGTAATGTACAATACCGGCTCAATTTATTTCCTGCCAGCAATCTGGGACAGCTCAAGATTTACCAATCCACTTATGAGGAGGGGCTAATAAATATGACCTTGGGGTTTAAGTTGGCCAAGGTGCTATTTATAAGATATGCACAGAGCCTTTCTCACACAAAACAAGAACTATTAGTATACGTTGTGAAAGTGCCACTCCAAAGGGGAAGGTTTATAATATCTTGCTGAACTTATTTTAAACAGTGGCCAAAAAGATAAGTGATGAAAAGGTAATGGACATCAACTACTGAGGACATCTGCTGCAGTGTTCTGTAATGGGCAGCAAATAAACAAAGAAGACAGGCACCATGGACAGCTTGTGTATGGCTCTGGTGACCTACCATCTGTAGGCATCTATCATCCGCCTACCTGATTCTAACTTGCTCAGGACACTCCGGATTTTGCCTACCTTTACTTTTCCTTCCGTGAAGTTTGGATGAGATGTTCTATTAGTCAGTGAGATAAGTAATTTATGAAGACGAAAGGTTTCTTTTAACTCACACTTTTCAAGGTTCCTGTCACTGACCATTTGGCCCCATTGCTTTGGTCCCATGGTAAGGCAGCGCAGCAGGCAGATACACATGGTAGAGCAAGCCACTTACATCATGAACCAGCTAGTAAAGAGATCCAGGAAGAGGAATATCCTACAATGCCTCTCAAAGGCATGCCCCTGAATGGCTTAAGGGGGCACAAACCTCATCTCCTAAGGGTTATCTCATCCACCATCCCAAGAAGCAAGCCTTTAAACACATGGGTCTTTTAGGGCCACTCAAGAGCCAGCCTAGAGCAGACATCCACTGAAGGCCTCTATGTGCAACCCAAGATGGGCCAACTGCATCTCATTAGCTGCAGTGAGTGGCTGGTAGCTGGGCACATTGTTCAAGCCAGGTGAGGGTTCTCCATGGAATTTCACTGAGGTCACTTTCCAGTGATATACAAAAGAGACCTGTTTGAGCTAAGAAAGTGTGAGGGCAGTGAAGATAGAAACAAGGCCAAGCAGAAATAATTCAGGGAGGAGCTGATGGCCTGATGGGATGGGGTGGGGCTGTTTCTTGCAGCCTGTTCTTCCTCTCTGCATGTTAGACACCAAATGCCAAAATCCCTTTTTCCTTAAGCAAGTTTGAATTGGATTTCAGCTCCTGGGTGACAAAAAGCTTGACAAATACACCAATAAAGATGGAATCAGGAGTACAGAAAAGTAGCATTTGAGGAAGGGGGTAAGGGAGGAGAACTGTGAACTCAACTCATGCTGGCCACCTGGAGGTGCTGAGCATCCACATTGCTTTTAGCTGGCCGTGGCTCTGTCATGTGATGGTATCCAAGCCCTGGGAGTATGCTTTCTCAATTCCTTTTTTGATTCTGCTCAGGTTCCACTTAAAAATATATATACACATCTCCCATCTACTTCAGTACTTTTTTCTCTTCCACAATCCTCAGTTCTTCCTTACTTCCCAAACACATGAATTTTACAAACACATGAAATTTCACAAACACATGAATTTTTCATAACATATGAAAAATGAGTAAATTCTGCTCCTAAAAGTTCTGTGAGACTAGGGTCCATCATGACACTGGCTAGAATAGAGTTCATGTAGCCATAGAAATTTGCTTATGTGAGGTTCCTAAACATTCGGAAGGCAGCTTGAACTGTGTTCTGCTGAAATTTCTATGTGTTTACCAAACATGCTTTATTCTAAAATTGCTTTGATTTATAAGATATAAATCAAGGGTGGGGGTGTACATCCCACATTAATACATTTGTTGTCTGACATTACTGTCGATTTGTGTGTGTGTGACCACCAGACCGTACACACCTGTGAGCACAGAAACCAGATCTTGCTGAATCTTTGTACCCAGCCTTCAGCACCATTCTTCAGATGAATTGGCATCTGTTTCCCTACCGTGTACAAGTGAGTCTTAACATTCCATAGAACCTGGCCTCTCCAGGTAAGCAGAGTCAGCGTCCCTGAGTCAGAGTTCTGCAAATACAGAATGTGGACTGCACTTCAAAAGGATGGATTTGTAATCCTGGGTAGGCTGTACGCATAAGCAAGCTTGAGAAGTACTGCCTGGGACAACAGAAGTCCTAGGCTTCAGGCCTCCCCGGGGACGTGACATACCACAAAACAAGTCTGCATAACCCAAAGCATAATCTGTCAAGGTAGAAAGCTCAGACTGTTCTGGAGGCAGAGGGGGGTCTCCAGCATGCTGGAAGGGATGTGCCAAGTCGAGGAAGGGGAGCCACACACCAGCAGCGGTGTGCTGCATGGAGGAGAGAGAGGGAGGTGGGTACCAGAAGTGCAGGTGAGGGGTGGGGAGGGCTGCAGCCAGAGAGATGGGCTGATAGGCTGGCAAGCAAGGAGACCTGGCCAACCTTTCAGAGAGAGGAGCTGACTGATGAGAGAAAGAAGAGAATTAAGGGAGCTAAGGTTCTGAGCCTGTTACCCTCAGGTAGGAATGAGAGCACCTGGGACCAGCTGGGTCAGAGGATGATGCTCCTGCTCTCACGCTATCTCTAACTGCACAGAATCTCGTGCTTTTCCTTCTGCCATCTTCAAACTGGTGATTCCTCAATAAGGTTTTAACTTCGAAGAAAGGAGGTGCTGTGATTTTGTACTCAGAAAAAATGTAGGCTCATAAAAGCAGACTATCAGCTTCTTAATCTTAGAATCAATTGATTCGGTAGAGTGAAAAAAAATTAACAAGGCCACTGCAATACCTTAAATAAATTGGGTTTTAGCCAGCGTCTGCAGGAAGCTTCTGTAAGAACTCAGGAAATGACTTCCATTTGAAATCCCAGCCCCAAGAGCACTTAATCAGTGCAATTTGGTGATGATAATGATGGTCCATATATCGCAGCATCATCTATCCAGTTAAGTAAATGCTCCCAAGGAGCAAGGATAGCGAACAGGACCAGGACACGATTAAGGAAGAGGGCTTCTCTGCAATGTGGACAACTGCAATTCAAAAATTGCTGGCTGAGCATTTTGCTCCTATAGGGATCTTCGTCCCTTCTGCTGACCCTGAATACAGTATCACTCTGAATACAGCAGTTTAGGGAAAGGCGTGGGCCCTGGAAACTAGGACTCCCCAGGGAAACCACGGGATCGAAACAGGTCATCGCGGGGCTCCGAAGAAGCACTCTCCTGGTCCGCCAGGGTGCCAGCGCTGCACTGCCAGCTGGGGTGGGATGGGTGCGGGGCGCGGCAGCCAAAGCAGCTGAGCGACCACTCAGCTCTCCGCGCCGCCTTCTCTCTCGCCTTCCCCTTCTGGCCGCCAGGCTCCGGCTCGGCCCAGACCTGT